CTAGTAAACTTCCAAATTTGAAAACAAGATTTACTAATTTTAATGACATTGTGTTCAAAATATGTCTGAAAGAGGACAAGGGACTAGAACCTCTGCCTTGTGGCTTTGATTTCAACATAACATGAATTTAAATATTTATTAAAACCAAAAATTTTATTATTGATTATTAGTATTATTGATTTTTACATTAACATCACTCGCAACTTGAATATTTTAATAACATACTTGTATAAAAATGTGTGAAGCTTTTAAATTTATAATTTTCCAGAAAAAGTGTTGTTAATTTTTTTTGTTTATTATAGATATTTACTTATAAAAATAACAAAATACGCAAACTCGTGATACAAATTGTGATTTTGATAATAGTCAGTCTTGATTGTTGAAAATATTGAGAAACACCTATGCATTCGCAATTTTAGAAATATTTATTAGTATTGAAGTAATAATAATATGAATTATCTTTTCAAACGTAATTCTAATTAGTCAAAGATAAAATACAATTTTATCGTCTTGTATTTACAACAAGCAACTATGAAACATATGTTTGTCAACAATAAAAACTTGCCACTGGAATTTCAATCCAAATTTTAAATTAATTCGTAGATATTCTTAAAAGTAATAAAGTGTTAATTTTATACTTTAAATTAGAAAGTTTTTCAAATTTTAATCTGGTCTTTTCCTGCCTTCTGCTTGCAGACTTTTCGTCTTCAAATTTCCAAAAATTATGCGCGGTACCCAATTTGTGTTTTCATTTCTAAATTTTCTTCGACGTTTTTCTTTGGCTGTCGTTTAATGACGTTTTTTTTAAATTAAATCAAAAACCGGGACTGCCAACTTCCTTTATTAAAATTATTATGAATAAATTTGCTAGGAGTGCCAACGTTAAGACTGTTTGACATTTCGATTTAAAATAACAGACTTTACTTGTACTTTTAAAAACATGTATTAGTTTAAATCTAATCTTTTAAATAAAATAACACTATATCAACAAAGAAGATTTGTCACTAATCCAAATACCAATCAAAATCATAAGATTTTAAATGGAAATTCTTTATCTTAATCATTTGATTAAGTCCATAAGTCCATTTGGACTTATTGTATCTACAAAAATACTATGGCACTTTAAGTTTTAGAGCTTTCAAGTTGTCTCAAAATGAATCAAATTGAATCGCAACAATTAAAAACGTAAGGAGAGCATTAAGTACACCAAGAATCGTTTTTCGATTTAAATCAAAAAATCTGGCGGCTGTAAAGTGAGGAAAAGTGTTGTTTATAACATCTACAAGAATTTTTATTTCTTCATATTCTTTTCCTTCTACACAATTTGCTGCAATTTCGTGCGCTACCATTTGCATATTTTTAACTCTTTGTTGTATCAGATCGCACAAAAAGACACCAATAAATGTCCCTACCTAAAAGTGAAGAAATGTTTATTCAAAAAAATAGAGAAACATCTGACTAACCATGTGCCAAGCAACATGCGTTATTTTCAATATAACACCTAAGATGGTATTTTCTGTCGTATTAGTGACGGTCAAACTGTGCAAATAAGATAATTGTTGGAAAAAACAAAACTGTATCATCAATAATATTAACCAACCAAAAATATTGTTAAAA